TGGAGAACCCCCCACCCCCAGCCCCGCCGGTGCCCCTCACTCAGCCCTGTCCTCCTGGTGCCCCACAGGCCCGTGCCCCCCATCCCCCCCCTGCCCCTCACTCCCCAACCCACAGCCCTTTTTCTCCAGGGTGCCCCTAGCCCCTCACTCCTGCCCAGCAGCCCCTCTTCCCCATGCTGCCCCTGCCCATCATTCCAGCCCCCAGCCCTGCCAGTGTCCCTCACTCCCACCCCACAGCTCCCTTCTGCCAGCCGTCCCTAAACCCACAGGGGTAGTGGGGTAGACACGACTGAAGCCAGAGAAAAAAAGAAACATATGAAAAAACTGAAGTAGTTTATTACAAGTCACAAACGCAGTCCCGAGAAGCAACCGGATTCACTTCAACCAGGGGCCCTGGCTCTCTCCACTGCAGGATCTCCTGGGCCTGGGGCTTGGAGGCTTCTCTCCCAGCAGGCTGCCTTCCCCAGGGGCAGCAGGCACTACCCACCTCCCCACATGGTTCCCACATCTGGGTCCAGCCTTACAGCCAGTATCACAAAGCAACTCCGGAGGGCAGGGAGGGAAGAAGCCTGGGAGCCCAGACTCAGCCCTCCCCACCCCCTGTGGGGGCCACACACAGAAGCTCAGGGTCCTCCAGACTCCTCTTCACTGCTGGCATCAGACCTGTTGTTCCCATTCTGCTCCTGGGCCTGGAATAGGCGCCAGTATGCCCCGCGCTGTGCCAGCAGCTCCTGGTGGGTGCCCTGCTCCCACACGATGCCATCTTCCAGCACCAGGATACGGTCAGCCCTCTCCACCGCGCTGAGCCGGTGGGCGATGAGCAGCACCGAGCACCCGGCCCGTGCCCCCTTGTACACCTCCGCCTCCACCTGCCATAGCAGCAGGGTCATGGCCAGCCCCAGAAGTGGTGCTAGACCCTCGCAACCCTCCCAGCTCAGCTGGGACCCCTCATGCCCAACCCACCACCCACCCAGCCCCTCCAGTACAGATGCCCCTCATGCCTGACCCCCAAAGCCACTTCAAACCCAGTACTATGCTCCACTCCTCCCACCCCTCCAGCCCTGCTGGTTCCCCTCACTCAATCTCACATCCCCCTGCCCCCAGCCTGCCCATGCCTCTCACCCGCAGCTGGCTCTCGGTGTCCAGGGAGCTGGTGGCGTCATCCAGGATGAGCACACAGGGGTCTCGGATCAAGGCTCGGGCAATGGCCACTCCCTGCCGCTGCCCCCCGGAGACCTGGCCCCCCATCTCGCCCACGTCTGGGGCACAGAAAACAGTGAGGTCAGGGCATCTCAGGATGGGGGGGAACTGGGGCCCCAAAGCAGGACAAGGGGCAGTGGCAGGGGAGTTGTCTCAGTCCCATACCTGTGTCATAGCCATGGCTTAGCCGGGCAATGAAGGCATGGGCATTGGCACGCCGGGCAGCCGCCTCTACCTCCTGATGGCTCTGGGGCCCCAGCCCATAGGCGATGTTGTCATGCAGAGAGCGGGCGAACAGCACAGGCTTCTGACTCACTAGTGCCACCTGCAACAAGCAGGGAAGAGCGAGGGCTGAGGTGGGCAAGAAGCAGGGGCTGGGGCAAGAAGGGATGCCTCTCCAGGGTGAGCAGGAGAAACCTGGACTTGGCAGGGGTTGAACTACAGGTGCCCAACGTCAGTGGAGAATGTACAGACATTTCCTCTCCCAAGAGAAACCAGAAGTGATTTACTTCAGGTTGTTCCCAGGTTGTTTTTCTGCTGGGAGAAACACTCATGGTTTCTTGTGGGAGAGAAGTGACTGTATGAGGGAAGAGAGACAAAGTAAACAAGGGTCAACTTGACAGACAGAGCGACAGAGAGAATTGGCACAAGGCAGGGCAAGGGCATCTCAGCTATGAATACAGGGACTGTGAGACTCGCCCTCTGTAGCACCCTAGGGGACCAATCCCTACTAGGTTATCTGTTCTGTCTATCCATGTCCAGGGAATCAACATGCGGGAGACTGGTCCCAGAGGCAAGTCTGGGTATAGGAAGGTAGACGCCCTTACCTGGCGGTGCAGGTACTGGTGCTCATAGTCCCGCAGGTCCCGCCCATCCAGTAGGATGCGGCCACGCTGGGGCTCATAGAACCGTTCCAGCAGGCCCACCAGCGCACTCTTCCCAGCACCCGATGGCCCCACCAGTGCTGTCACTTCCCCAGGCCTCAGCTCCAGTGAGACACCCTGCCGGGGACCATGAAGGTGGAGGGGAGGTGGGGATCAGATAAGGACATGCCCTTTCCCAGCCCCTGGTGCCCCTCCCCACTCCCATTCACCCTCTTTCCCCCATCCCTCCATCCAAACCCCCCCATCACCCACCGTCCTCCTGGACCTCCCTCCAGGTACCTTGAGAACAGGAGTGTCATCCCGTCCGGGGTAAGAGAACCAGACATCGCACACCTGGACGTGCCCGCGTAGGTTGGGGGGCTCCAGGGTCCCAGAAGGGGTGATCTGGGGCGTTCGGTCCATGTACTCAAAGATCTTCTCAGAGGAGCCCACGGCCTTCTGCACGCTGGGGTAGACAGACAGCAGCACCTGGGAATGGGGAAGGGGGAGTCGGGGGTGAGAACTGTCCAGGGGTGTGAGGGTGATGGGGAACGTGACTGGGATAAGACAGAAGCCGTGATCTGGAGACGGGGAAAGCCTGAGGCCAGCAGAACTGAGAGGCTAGGTTTCAACTGACTCCAGGAGCCAGCAGGCATGGTGCCAGGGGAAGGCAAGCTCAGGGATAAAGGCTCCTAGTGGCGCCGGCAGCTTCTCAAGGGTACTGCAATGGGAGCCCAATGAGAAGCTGTTCCCACAAGAAGAGTATCATGATGCCCCTTTTTAAATCCTTGCATGTCCACACCTTGAACACAGTGCCCAATTCTGGACCCTGCACCTCAGAAAGGATATAGGAGAGCTCTAGAAAGTCCAGAGAAGGGCACAAGGATGATTTGTGGCATAGAGGGGCTTCCCTATGGGGAGAGACTAACAAAGCCAGGCCCGTTCTGTTTAGAAGAGAGATGCAGGAGAAGCCTTTACAAAGTAAGAAATGGTGAAGAGAAAGTCACTTGGGATTAATTATTGACTGTCTCTCCCCAGACAAGAACAAGGGGTCACAACACAAAATGAGTAGGCCATCAGTTTAAAACCAACACAAGTCAGCTCTTTTTTTCACCCAGCGTGTCATTAAAGAGTGGGACTCATGTCTACCAGATGTGGTGGAAGCTGACAGCTCAGCCAGATTCACAAAGGGATCGGACAAATCCTTGGAGGAAAGAGATATCAGTTGCTATGGAGCACAGGAGGGGCACGGCATCCAAATCAGAACGTCCTAGACACTATAAATGTTGGAGGCTGCAAGTGAGAGACGAACAGGGGGAAAAAACCCTGGTCAGACCCAGCTCATTCTCCCTTTCAGCACAGGGTGACACAGGAGACTGGACAAGAGGAACCTATGGGCTGACCCAGGACATGGCAGTTCTCATGTTCTTAAAGGCTAGAGACCCATGTGGCTGCTCAAGGGGCTTCTCAGATGCCTCAACTTCTAAGGCAAAGCCTTCGGGCTATGGGAAAATGTGCAGGTGGCCAAGGAAGCAGACCAGGAAATACCAAGAAGTTGCAGGGACAAAATCAGGAAGACAAAGATAGAGAACGAGTTGCACTTGGCGAGGGAGGACAAAGACAACCAGAGGGTCTATAAATACACTGGCCAGAAAAGGAAGTCATATGCTCCATCACCTGCTTGCGTTGCCCATCTGCTGCCTATGTTGGACAGATGGGCTGATCTCTACATATAAGAACGGACAAAGGCTATTCTGACATCAGCTCCAGAAATGCACACAAGCCTGGGGCAAACCCTTCAACCTCCCCCAATACTTCACCGCTGACCAGAGGGTATCTGTTCTCAAACAGAGAAATTGTAAAAGCCAGTTTGAATGGGAAACTGCAGAGCAAGAAGTCACCTACAGACTGGATTAGGTCTGGTTTAAACAGGGACTGTGGGTTCTTATCTTCCTGCCCTCTGCCTGACACAACTAGCTGCCTCTCTCTGCAGAAAAGCAAGGTCAAGGAGGTGGTGCCTGCCCTGGTGAACAAGATAAGCTCCCAGGTAGCAGAGCTGTTGGAACTACAAGGCTTCAACCTGCACCAAAGGAAGATAAGTCACAGTCAGACAGCTGGTGGAAATGATACAGATGTGGACAGAGAAAGGCTGAGGGGCCACAACAATGGAAGAGATGATTAGCTTTCAAGGGGTGTGAATACATTCACATTGGCAGAGCCTGAACTCCAGCCCCAGGCACCAGAGGAACTGGCAGAAGGGCTCTCACAGCCCCCCAGCAATGATATCTAGTAAGTTGTGTGAGACAAGCAAGGAGGTCCCAGGGGATGGGGAAAGGGCCAATGTATCTTAGAAGAGATGCTTGAGTGAGGGCAGGATCAGGGTTTGCAAAATACTAAATGGTGAAGAGAAGTCGATAGGGATTTATTATTGACTGTCTCTCCCCAGACAAGAATGAATGGACAGGAAATGAAACAAGCAGGCAGTAGGTTTAAAACACGCACCAGGAAGTTCTCTCTCATTCAGCTACTAAAGTGCAGAGTTCGTTTCATAGGTTGTGGTGGGAGGTGACAGGATGTGGGGGGAGCTGACAGTTCAGCCAGATTCACAAAGGGAGTGGGCACGTGCTTGGAGGAAAGGGGCATCAGTCGCTAGTGAGCATGGGAGTGATGGGCACGGTCTCTGAATCAGGACTTCCTAGACCCTAAATGCTGGAGGCTGCAAGTGAGAAAGGAACAGTCAAAAAACCCCTGGTCACACGCTGCTCACACCCCCTTCCAGAGTCCGCTCTGTGCCCCATGTGACACAGGCCTATTTGTTGCTTAAGGGACTGTGGGCCAATGCCCACTAAGAAATGTTATAAGCCTCTCTTAGTAGGGAGGCTGCTGGGTAAGCAACAGCAGGTTTCTTGGGACAAATCAAAATGTAACACGGCCAGGAGTGAGGTCAGAGGTTCAGATTAGTGCACAGGGGGAGGGAGGGGGACACCAAGCTAAGCACACCGGACAGTGCCCACTGGCCCTCAAACGAGTCCAAGGAGCCAGTGGACACTGCCCAGTGATGCTCTGCCTGGAAACATGATCAGACTAGGGACAGGAAAGTGGCCCCATAGTCCCCAGGGATCCTGACCCTTGTCCTCATGTTCTCACTGTGTCTTCCCACTTGGTGTCTGTGCAGGACATGAGAATGGGATGGTGGAAGGTGCCAACCACGAGCATGTAGAGCTGGAAGTGATGGGTGGTTTGGAAGCAGACCAGCTTGGTGTCCAAGACTGGCAGGATGGGCCCAGGGTCTGACCCAGGAAATGGAAGTTCTTATGTAGCGCCCTGCTTTGAGAAAGGCAGGACCAGGGGGACTAGAGACCAGTCAGCTTAACCTCAACACCCAGGGGGTTATGAAGCAGATCCTAAGGAAGTCCACTTGCAAGCATCTGGGGGAGGGAAGGGTGATCACAAGCAGCCAGCATGGATCTGCTAGGAACAAATCACATTAAATAAACAGGATCTCCTGCTTTGACCAAGTAGCTGGGTGGGACAGAGCATCTCCTGACTGAGTCTGCAGAGGACACAAATCTGGGAAGGATCGCAAAGATGCCAGAGGAGGGAAGCAGAAGCCAGCAGGATCCTGAGAGACTGTAGTTCTGTCTATCAGAGACATTCAGAAATACAAGACTCCGGCCCCAATCCAGCTGCTGTAACCTCACCCATCCCCTCCCCACTCCCACCTTTTGCCCTGCCCCCCAGCACTCACCTCCACGGCGATGGTGAACTGCATCTCGTAGAGGACGAAGGTGACCAGGTCCCCACTGCTGATGGCACCGGCTGTCACCAGCCGGCCCCCATAGTACAGGATGCCCACCTTCAGAGCCAGCCCCGAGAGCTGCAGGGGAGACACAGCCAGGACAGGGTTAACAGGGAGCCCCTCACATCCCACCCTACCTCTGTAGGGTTTGGGGGAAACCATCCTGATGGAGAAAGGGCAAGGGAGGCCCCAGGAATCCGATCAACCCTTCCCTGTCCCAGAACTGAACCTCCATCTCTGCCTTCCACCTCACCCATTAGCAGATCCATGATGCCCCCAATTGCCATGGACTGCCCCCCCCATTATCATGGTGCCCTTTGCCATGAGAACCCACCCCCACTCCATTGCTGTAACTCCCCATCCCTTTTTGCCATGGCATTCTTGAAACTGCTATGGCTTTGCCCCACAGCTACAACACCTCCCACCATCCCTGGCGCACACTGTCTCCATTGCCATGGGGACCCCCCCCCCAGTTGTCACAGTATCCACTCACACTGGTGGTCCAGGTGGAGAGGGCATAGGCAGCAGCTTCCTTCTGGTTCAGGTGGTAGGTGTCTTGCAGTCGGGCGGCATAGCTCCGCGCTGCTCCCTCCTCGTTGGCAAAGCTGCGCACCGTGGGCATGGCCTGAAATGTCTCCACTGCCACCTCATTGGCCCGGGCCAGTGACTCCTGCACCCGCTGCGCCAGGCTCTGCAGGGACATGGGTGTCAGGGCAGGGCAGCACCCCGGGGGTGGGGTGGATGGATGTATGGATGGAAGGATGGGTAAATGGTGACGTGGCTGGATGAGTGGGGAGGTGGGTGGGTGGATGATGCCCAGGCTGTCTCCCAGTTCTGGGAGGGAGTGGCTTACTGCTGCCCAGCCCTGGAAGCAGGAGTGGGCACTGGGCTGTGGGGGTCCCTGTTACCTGATGCAGCTTGCCGGAGAACTTGGGCACAAGGAGGATGAGGGGCAGTCCCATAGCGGTGCAGATGGCGAGGCGCAGGGACAGCCGCAGCATCAGGATGTAGAGGAAGGCGCCGCGTGCCCCGTACCACATCAGCAGGCTCAGCTTCTTGCTCAGTGCCTCACTCGCCGCCTCTGTGTCCGCTGTCACGCGTGACGTGATGTCGCCTGCAGGGGAAGGGGTCAGTGCGGGGCTGAGACCCCCACCCATAACTACCTCTTTCCTATGGCTCTGGGACACTCTTCTCTCCCTCCATCTACCCATGGGCATCTCTAGGACTTTAGAAGGGGGCTGCAGATGGCATAGTCCCTCATCACATACAACACAATGCATATTTTTCTCCAGTTAAACCTGAAGTTTACTAATATTCTAGAGGAATTAGCACTATATTGTTCCATTTAAAACCAAAGCAAAAAAATATATAAAATATATAGTGCAATGTGAATGACTGACACATTATATATAAAGTTAAAAAAATAGACAAAAATAGTAAAAAAAATTGCATGACATTAGTCCCATAGTAATTACAATTAAGTGTAAGTCTCTAATTCAGATTGAGTGTCTTGACAGTGCCTCAAATACTTTAGTGTTAGTCATTTATACACCTGAGTTAACATGACGATACATGAATGAAGGTTTTTAGCTAGAGAAAAAACAGCCTGAAGGGCTCTAAATAGAAGTGAGCAAGGGCTAACAGACAGCCACATTGCAGAAGAAAAGGCAGCTTGATCAATGGAATGTGAAGACCATTACAAAAAGGAGAGATGGTGGTTAACAACTGTGGAGTGGAGAGATTAGCAGGAATCAGGGACCTGAAAATGCGCCATGAAGTCCATTGCTGCCGCCTCTCCTGGGCAGTTGGTTTAAATTTTGAGAGGAACAGGAATCAACTAAACCAATGCACCCCTCTGGATCTGCCCCTCCATCCATCATCCATCCCCCACACCTTGCTCTAGTTTCTTCCATCCCCCCATTTCACTCCCAGCCTGCTCAGTCCTACACTCACACCCTTGACCCCGTCCCACCTGTGGCTCTGAGGTAGGAGAACATGGTGGAGGGAGATTGGTGGAAGGGACCAGATGGGGCTTGAGCCCATGTGGGGGGCAGTAGGGAGCCCTGGGGGAGGTAGGGGCCCCAGGAGGTCCCTCACCAGTGCGGTTGGTGTGGAAGAAGGCAATCTCCTGGCGCAGGACAGAGCTGAACACCTGGCCCTGGAGCCGTGTGTGGATGCGGTTCATGGTGGTGTTGTAGACACAGTCGCACAGGAACTCCGTCACAGCACTGGAGCGCAAACGGGGGTCAGTGGCATGGCGGCAGCAGTCTCTTAGCCCCAAATGCAGCTAGGGTCTGCCCTGCCCTGCCCCCGAACCCTCCCCACACCCTTAGCCTGGCACCTGAAGATGGTGATGAGGGACATGATCCAGATGGCATAACTGAAGCCCGAGGGGTCATCCTCACTCACGATCCAGTCTGTCATGCGCCCCGTGTAGTATGGGATCGCCATCTCCCCTGCAATGCAACAACTCTTGCTGCAGCAGGATGCCGGGGTTTCCGGGGCAAGAGGGGGTGGCACGGCGCAGTAGGGGCTTCCAGGGAATGGCCGGGGGTGGACTCCTGGGTTCTCCTCTCCCAGCGCTGTGCTTAGTGGGTTCTGGTGGGTTATAGGGCAGAGCGGGGCTGGATACCTGAGTTCTTTCCCAGATTTGGTGGGGGAGTAGGGTCTGATGGCCAAAAGGAGGGAGCCAGGACACCTGGGTTCTCCCCCAGCTCTGGCAGGGGAGGGGGACCTGATGGGTTGCAGAAGGTTGAGGGGGAGCCAGGACCAGGGCTGGATTAACACACAGGCAACTAGGAAGGGGCCCAGCCCAGTTTTGCTTATTTTGCACATTATAATTATTGAGTGAAAAAAGTAATACAAATATACAGTATTTCATAGGGGCCCATGTGTTTGTTTGACTATGGGCCCACTGAAAAGTTAAGCCAGTCCTGACCAGGACACCTGGACAGTCTGTATTCAGATGGTCTTAACAGTGCCTGCAGTACTTCAGTGTCAGTCATTTCTACACCTGAGTTAACATGACCATACCTGAGTGAAAGTTTTTAGCTAGAGCTAAAAACAGCCTGCAGGGCTGTAAAACAGAAGTGATGAGCAGGGCTAACAGACAGCCACACAGCAAATGAAAAGGTAGCTTGATCAATGGACCCCCCAGCCCCTCCAGGACAGTCTCCTTCTGCCTGTGTTGACTTTAGGAGTCCAAACAGTATGGATCTTTCCCAACTCTGGGAGGGGAGGGAGGTCTGGTGAGTTGGAACTGGGAGATCCTGCGTCTGGTGGACTGGCTGAGTTTGTCAGGCTACAGCAAGGGGCACTTGGCCACAGGGCTGGGCACAGGCGTGGGTGAACCAGGCAGCTGCCCAGGGCCCAGACAAAAAGAGGGCCTGAAAAAGTGTTTTTTTTCTATTGTCTAATCATTATTATCATTATCTCTGGCAAAGAGGGGGCTGACACTAAAAGTTCACCTGGAGCTACCAGGAGTCTAGGTACAGTGCTGCATAGCCAGGACCCCCAGCCCCTCCAGGACAGTCTCCTTCTGCCTGCATCATCTTTACCCCAGTCCACATGTCCGGCCCATACAGCCAGCAACCGCAGCCACGGCTCCAGGCTCTGCCCGCATCTCCTGAGCCCAAAATCAGAGTCCTGCCCTGCCGGCTCCTGCCCAGACCCCACTTGGATGGAGGACCTTGCTGTGGCCTGGATGTGAGCAGGTGCTGCAAGCCCAGAGCTGCATACAGGTGCTCATCTCTCTGCACCTGTCCCCAGACCGGGGTACAGGTGGGGGCAAGGGATGTGAAGGGCAGGGATCTTTCTCCTCCACCACAGTGTGACCCTGCGGTCACTGGCGAGGACAGGAAGAGGGGCAGGGACAGTGTCCACCCGCGCCCCGACTCACCGAGGGAGGAGAGCACGAGGAAGAGGGTGACGAGGGCGAAGCGGCGCAGGTCGGGCAGGAGGCAGCGCAGCAGGCGGAGCAGGTGGGGGCAAGGGATGTGAAGGGCAGGGATCTTTCTCCTCCACCACAGTGTGACCCTGCGGTCACTGGCGAGGACAGGAAGAGGGGCAGGGACAGTGTCCACCCGCGCCCCGACTCACCGAGGGAGGAGAGCACGAGGAAGAGGGTGACGAGGGCGAAGCGGCGCAGGTCGGGCAGGAGGCAGCGCAGCAGGCGGAGGGCGGAGGCGGCGGCGGCGGCGGGGTCCGGGG